ACGTCTGCTGCGAAACACACTCTTGAGGTTTTGCACACAGCTTCCAAAAGCCTGTGACTCCACCAAGAGCACTTACACAACCTTTAAAACACTGTTAATTGAAGGTAACGCCAATGCAATTTTGCCAGGAAAAAAAAAATTGATGGCATGTAGGGACACGCACCCCCCCGGCTCAGGCTCAGTTTTATTCACAAAATAGGAGTTTTGGTAAGTCTCTGCAAAGGAACGCAGGCTGATTTCAGTCTCTTCCTACGGTTTTCTGTCACGGAGCTCTAAGTCCCGTTGACCTTACCCGTGCAGCACCCGGCCGAGAAATGCGCAGGCGTGCCCGGGGAGGTCTGGGACTCTCAGCCGCACGGCAGCAGCTTTGGGTGGCCAGCCTGGCTTCCAGCTGCTGTTCTGGGCTTGCTGCTGCCGCTGCCCAGGCCGGCTGGGCAGGGTTTTGTGTTCATCAGCGCCACAGCACCCTGCCATTTTCAGCTAAATAGTCTGGTACTGAGTTGGTAGCCAGGTAGGGGTGAAACCTGATGGAGAGACCTGTGACCACAGAGTCAATAGACCACACTAGTTATTCCTCCCGAACAGCACAGCAAAAATCTTCTGGTTTGATACAGAGTCTTTCATAACCGTGTTTCTATCAATCCTACAAATTGCACTGAAGTGTTTTTTGCTCGTGTCTGTGACGCTAATCTCGGTCTTTGTCCCGCTCCAGTTAATAGGCTGCATTATTGGCAGACAAGGCAGTAAGATAAATGAAATCAGGCAGATGTCAGGAGCGCAGATCAAGATTGCTAATGCCACAGAAGGCTCCGCAGAACGACAAGTTACAATCACAGGATCCCCTGCAAACATCAGCTTAGCACAGTACCTCATTAATGCAAGGTAAGTTTGCTTTGTAAGTGATACCGCTTCTGCGAGATTGCTCTGCCTGCTCTCCAGCAAATGTCTGTCCTGGGTAGATCCAGAAAGTTGCTTTGCAGTGTCCATTTTGCGTAGCCTTACTCAATTCCTAATGATTTCTAAAGCCTGTATCCTTAGAACCTGTGTTTGCTGTTGGTTTATATGGAAAGGAGCTTAATCTGGCGCGATTCTAGCTACACGTTGAATGACCGATGCTCAAAAATCTGAATATTCACATTGTTGTCTGCCTAAAACACAGGCGGATAAATTAAATGACAATCATAAATAACTTAGAAGAAAATACTTTTCACAGACCCATTTTACTGTCCTAAATGGCAAATGTAGTGAAACAGATTGCCAAACAGGTTGAATTTACTAGCTGGAAATTGCCACTCAGAGTTGATATTAAATCGACATTTGGTTGCTCAAGAGGCATGGGGTTTATTTTTTTCCGAGACAGCATCACAAACTTGGAACAAGCATCTCCTAATGAGACGGGATGAGACTGTCTCCTTCTCCACTTCCCAGTGCCAGAATTAATGAAAGCCCTGGCCGTTCAGCTAAGCCACTGCAACGGCTTCAGTCTCTATCTGTTTTGATGTGATTATTTAGAAAAATACTAAAATTGATGCCACCTTTATTTGCAATTATCCTGAGAAGAAAGCGCAGTGGATAATAGTGCTGTCTCGTAGACCTACCTGTCAGCGGCGGACCGAGGCAATGCACTGTGGGGAGGGGGAGTATCTGTGCATTTTATTGCTTTGCTGCGCTTTTTTTTCCCCTTTTCTTTCCTCCACCCCTAAATCCTGTGATATGAATCAAGCTTTGTCTTTGACTGTATTTGCTGTTGAAGTAGTAGAAAGTATGTGATTTGTAGCGGGTGGGGGGAGGGGATGCTGTAGTCGTAGTAGGTCTACAGCTTCCAACGCAATGTCCAGCCTCCTCTCCAGCCCAGCTGTGTGGTGCACCCCTGCCAGCCACTGTAGGTGGCTCAGTGGAGGAACAGGATGTTTGTGCGGCTCTGTGTCACAGCAAACAAAAAGATGACTTTTCATAATTCACTTTGAATGTAGTGTCCTAGGGAAAGGTATCTTGAGGGGGTGGCGTTGCAAAGCCTAAGAATAAGCCGTTTCCAGAATCCTAAAACAACCACCAGGTCTTTTGATTTATATTCTTTGTAGCAAATATAAGTCACTTCCGTAAGCCCTGTAATCAAATAAAAATGTGTTCCCTCCTTTAACCCTTAAGGATATGTTCTTCTCTTGGTGTTCAGGGATTCCCCGCACATCGAGACGAGAATAGACCCCTTCATTTTTAGTTGCACAAACAGCATATGGCATGCATCTGGATCTCGGAAGATAACAATTTAAGATCTTCAAGACAGCTAAAGCATGCAAATAAAATAATGCACTTATTAATGGAGTTGCAGTGAGCCGCTCACCAGAGACAGAAACTCTAGTGACCAAACCTCTGTTTGACTCACTCTAGCCTGTGAACTCGTAGACTTCTGTCTATCGCTATTTAACGATTCTTTTGATGGAATGGGATATATACGAGGTCTTTTAACATACTTTCGCAAAGAAGAAAACTTCTCCGCAGTCATGTACCATGGATACTCTATCTATACCCTGTGCAACCAGAAACAAAATACCTTCTTCCTGTTGAAGTTCTAGATAGAATTCGTTTGTTACCATCATCTACAATAAACCATCATATATTATTATGTACCATGTGTTGAAACTGTATTTAGATGAAGTGACTTCATTTGTAAATGAAGACTCTTAAAGTAATGTCTAATAAATTAAGCTGTAAGGTAACATAGGTCGTTAAGGTAGCTTTTTCGGTTTAACAAGTGACGCTCACCTTTCACAAGGAGAAATTCCTGCCTGGTTAGGTGCCACCGCAGCAGCAGCGCTAGTTCGCGGCCGCACTGGAGGAAGAACTTTCAGGGAAGAGGGAGGTGTGCTCTGGCTGGGGTTGAGGTGCTCGGGCAGGTTTGTGAGGGGGAGATCTAGGCTGCTGCTGCCTGTGCACGCTGGGAGCCGATTCCAGTGCATGTCAGTCCTAAATTGCCACAAGTACTGCCGTCTCTTTGAAAGACGCTGGCATGACGGAAGGGGTGTTGGGCAAGAGCTGAGTACAGTACCTAGGCTGCCCAAGATATAGTCTGCTATGTCAAAATAATAAATAAAAGCCACATAAGCATTCTTTTCCCCCACAAGATCTGTCATTCTCATGGATTTGGTTTCCAGGAGCAGTGTTTCTGCATAAATCAGTGTCTTAGAGCAGCATAAGATGCAAGAAAAAAAAAAAAAAGACGACGACCTTGCCATTGTATTCCTGAAATGATCTGTGTGTCTCTTTGAACTGTCCTCCAACCAAAGTTGCGGTCTGTAGAATGATTTATCAAATTGCATGAAGACTTTTACGGCAGTCTGGTGTTGAATATGTACATAATATACTCTAAATTGTAGCTATATAAATACATTGATGCAGCATCAAGACAGAGATTTAAACCTTTCCAACGTAGCATTTTGATTCTGTATCGAGTACCCGAGCGCTGACCTCTGTACGAGTAGAACGTGTCCCAGCTTGTCTGCAGTAGGTGTGTCGTCTTCTCCTGTAAAATCTTCTGTCTTGTAACTGGTTTCCACTGTAGTGACTGGAGCTTCATTACCCGATTCCAGCTTCTAGCGTTTATTAAGAATGAACCGTAGTTTAGGTTTCTTGTGTGAGATGTAGCTTCGGATTATAAATGGATTGTAGCCAGCAGCACTTTCTCCTTGTTGAAGAGCAGTTTCCTCAAGCTGTTTCTTTTTCTTTATACTGCCATTTCCATGAAAGGTTAATTCACAGAACCAACAGGACCACCAAAGCCACACTCGAGCTTTATTCCCTTCATCAGTTTGGGTAGGATGTGGCCTTCGGTGTACGTATTCGTAAAAGGCAGCTCGTCAAAGGAACAGCGTAGAGTCGGCACCGTGAAATGCTGTATGAAGGCTGCTCATCCGCTTCCACATTCAGTTTTGTTCCATCTACACTTGGCTTGGGAAAAAGCCACTGTCACGGGACAGCTGGTAGATAACTTATGTACTTCTACCTTACACACTGCCACCAGTAAGAAATGTGAAGCAGGACAAATAGAGCTTTAATTGTACCTGTGTGAGTAAAACAGGGAGTTTGAGTGGCTGCTACCCCCACCAGCCTCTAGGATCTATTCTCCCTGCTGGTGCAGGAAAAAGCTCAGGCTCAAATACTGGCCCGCCCCAGTACCAGTAAGGATCCTTTTGGTTTGTTTTGTTGTTAAATACAAGGTAGGCAAGTTTGGAGTCACTGAAACATTGAGCCCTGCTTTATCTATCCATGTGCCTGTCGCCCAGAATAACCCCGAGTTAGAAATAGAAAAAAATCCAACTGTATAAACGTAGGTTTTCCAGCACCTGCTGAGGTGACTCCTACACCCCAAGTTGGGGCTGTACACTAGAGCTGAATTCGATGGTGCAGCATTGTTAACGTGAATCCCGCAGCGCGAGAAGCATGGCTAGCCGCACAGGGACGCTCTCCTCTCTGCAAAGAGCATCTCTGCTGTGAGGGATAGAAAAATTCTGAGCTGCTTCTCCGTGGGGACAGATAAACACCACGGGGTAGGAAAGCTGAAGCTTTACCGCCCACAAACAGGTCTGCATTTCACGCGCTTGCCCTCTTCCTCTCCCAGCCCCTCGGAGATGTGCTCCTTACAGCTTCCCAGCAAAAGCCTCCAAGGAGTTAATACTCCAAGAGCCCTCTCTCTCTTTTGTGGGGAAGAGAGGAGCTCCGTGCTCAAGCATTTCCCTCTCTCCTCCCCGCTCCTCTCCCCAGCTCAGACCGGCTTCAGGTATCCTTCAGATTGCTTTAGTCCAACGCCCCCATTCCCTGTAACGCTGTCGTGGTTTAGTCCCAGTACGCCCCACGCAGCCACTTCCCCCCCCCCCGCTGCCAGCTGGGATGGGGGAGAAAATTGGAAAAAAAACCCTCGTGGGTTGAGATAAAAACAGTTTAATAGGATAGCAAAGGAAATAAAAATGATGATAATAAGTAACAGTAATAATGATGATAAAGGAATATACAAACCCAGGTGTGGCACAATGCAAGAATTGCTCACCACCCAGTGATCGATAGCTCATCCCTGAGCAGCGATTCCCTCCCCGCCGGGCCAATTCCAGTTTTATATACTGAGCGTGATGTCGCATGGTATGGAATGTCCCTTTGGCCGGCCGTCCCGGCTCCTTGTGCACCTCCGTGCTGGCAGACCATGGGCAGCTGAAAAGTTCTTGACTTAGTATAAGCCCTGCTTAGCAACAACCAGAACATCAGTGTGTTATCCCATTATTCTCAAGCTAAATCCAAACCACAGCACTGTGCCAGCTAGTATGGTGTAAATTAACTCTATCCCAGATGAAACCCAGACAATAGCACTGGTGGATCGCTTGCATCCTTGCGCAAAGACCGGGGCTGTTGCTCTCAGAACCGCGTGTAAGTCCAAGCTGAGGCAAAGCGAGGCTCTCCCAAGCCCTGAGTAGGAGGACCACGCTCCCCTCCCAGCCTGTAGCCTGGCTACCACCGCTCCCCAGGCCAGCGGGGACCAGCACAAACCCCACACTGGAAAGCTTCCCTGGGCCCGATGGGGTGGGACGAGGAAGCGGCGGGTCCCCTGACACACAGGTCTTCTGCACGGCCGGACAGCCGCTCGCTGGCACTCCGCTCCCAGGGAGGGAACGTGCTGCAGCTCCTCAGCTCACCTTGGGAGCCTGAAAAGTTAGTGATTACCGGAAAAACAACCCCAAACTTAGACTTAATGCACGTGTAACTGTAGCTAGCAAAGATTTTTCTAGCCCGCAGTCCTATCCCTATGCTCGGCTGCCTTCCCTCCCAGCTGGCCACGTGCAAAAAGCATCCTGACATTAGCGTTTAGGTTGTCTGCCGACCCAAAAGCCGGGGCGCAGGCTGCAGCAAACAGACGCCAAAGAGGCTGTCTCTAGGTAAACGTTTTGTTAGCTGAAAAAAAATACCGTCGCCTGAGAATTACGGTGATTTGAGGTCTAAAATCGTACAGAAAAGCTTAAGAATGTGGGCCAAGCTCATCTCGCCTGTCAGTGGGCGGGGTTAGACTGAAGTGAAGGTGGTTTGGTACCTGCACCCTCCAACGAGCCTGCCCCAGCCGTGGGCTCTGGGGGTCGCATCCACCTGTAGTTCCTTGTGCTGGCGGGGTCCCTCTGAGGACGTGGGTGTTGGGGCCCCGTGGCACCTCGTCTGTCAGTTGGGAAGCGCTTACGTTGGCTGTAACCACCGCACCGAGCTCACGAAGGATAATGCTGCTCTGGAAGCCTGGGTGGGGGGGGTTTCCAGTCTTCCTTTTTGCTAATTTCCAATTAGATGGCATAAGTATTTTGTTGCGATGTTAAGAAAAGCCCGGGGAAGGTACAAACACTGGCTGATCGGGTTTGGTTTATGTGAAAAATGCACACCGCCCTCGCAGCGAGTGAGATGAAAAACTGTCTAGATTTAAAAAAAAAACAACCCCAACCCAAAACTTTAGGCCGTAGGTGGAAACAGCAAACCGTTGCCCCGTCTCCTCTCATCCTAGCAAAGTGACGAAGGGTACCGTTCATGCCACAAAATTGACAAATTGAGAAAAAAAAAAAAAAT